TTTTTTTTTAATTACCATTTTATTTTTTTTTCCCCTAACAATACGCTGCCCTATGTATACCTGGAGGAATCCTGACATCCAGTGGTTAATCATCCTCATAGCAACCAACTGACTTAACTAGTTGCAATGACGTATGACTGAAACAACAACAACAAAAATTCTTACTTGAATTGCTTTCCCAAAGTCATAAGAATTGATTGTTCTTTTGCAATACAGACACAGAACAATTAATTACCAATTAGAAGCAAAATCTATTCTATGACGGGAAGCACAGTGGTACTGAAGAAAGCGCCTGTGTTTTGAAGTGAGACAGACAAGGCGTTCAAATTATTTATTTTTTATGTTTATAACTTTGGGAAATTAATTCATCTAAGCACTAGGGGTTTTTTCCTTTACAATCTCCAAAATGTTTTAACTCTTCTATTGTAAAATAAAATATAGATAAAACAACTACACAAACATATAGTTTCTCAAGTTATTATAAGTGATTATCAGGTGAACATCTTTAATCAACTCCCACGTCATGAACAGAAGGACTTCCTTAGCCACCCCAGAATTCCCTCCACAATCCATCCCAAACTGCATTCCTTCCTCCCCTGTAAGGAACTACTATTCTGACTTTGACAGTAATCACTTCCTTATATATATATTTAAAATCGGTTATGTTCTTTAAGTCTATTTTAATCTGCAAGTTCTTCTTTCCAGACCCTTCTCTTCCTTTCAATTAGTCTTTGAAGATCTAAAATGCTGTCATTTCTCACAACCTGATTTTTGCTGACTGGATTTTTATGGTGTGGTTCCGTGTCCAACTGCCTTGTCTACTTGCAGACTGATAGCTGGATCCAGAGGCTTGATCAGACTCAGCGTTGATCTCTTTGGCAAAACTACAGCTGGTGCTGCATCCTTTCACCACAGGCTACGTCATGGGATATAAGCAGCAACTGATGCTCACTGATCACATCCATAGGCTTACTAGGGGCTGCAAAATGGTGGCATCTAATTATATCATATCTTTTTTATTTCTTCTTTGGAATATTTGTATAAAAGGATACTTTTGCTCATGTATTCTTTGGTTACTGGTGGCACAAATCATATACATAAGGCAGAATAAATGCTTGACTCTTTTCCTTCATTCGTTTTCAAGACAATGAATTGATTTTCTTATCCTGTGGACCTGATCAATTTTTAAAATAACACATTTAAACATATTTAATTGGTTTCAGTTCACTGAAATAATGATTCTTTCAAAGTTTAAATTGTCCCATCTTTGACCAATGGGAGCCTCGAGCTGGCTCCTGAATTCTTTTTGGTTTCAGTTCACTGAAATAATGATTCTTTCAAAGTTTAAATTGTCCCATCTTTGACCAATGGGAGCCTCGAGCTGGCTCCTG